AAAAAAAAAAAAAAAAAAAAAAGCAAATGTGCCTGAAGCACACAGCCGTAATTTGATTGTTTCTTAAAAACCCACTTATGTTGAGGACTGAAATTCCTTCCCAGCCTCAGAAAAATGTTTTGTTTTGTTTTTTAAACCATTCTACCTAGGTGTGACTGACTACAGAATTACCTAAAACGGTGACACACAAAAGGGAACTGGAGCTAGACTTATGCTTCTACTGAAGCACAAATGAACTAGCCAATGTCCCTTCAAAGGGAAAAAGAAGGGTGCAGATGTTTTCATTCTGAGCAAACTTTGGTGTGATTCTGCATCAAATCCTGTTTAGAAGTGAGCCCAAGTCACATACTAAGTCCTCCAGCTTTGGCAGTGCTTCAGCTCTGAAGATCAGATTTTCAGAACTGTTCAGCTGTCACAGATAATGCAGTACCAGTCCAACACTTGGCCTTTCAGCTTCTGGCCTTTACTGCATCAAGTCTTTTATTCAGAAAACAGATTTCTTATTAGTGTCATCTGTTAAACCAAAAGAGGAAAAATGACTGTTGTTGTAAAAGTTATTTTTCAACACTGCATTCATAAGAACTAACATTAGTATATTTTTTTCATTTAGGATATGTCTGTGGAAAGCAGGTTTGGCAAATACTTAGACATAGATGGCTTCCAAGATCTGTTTTCTATCCACTACCAAATCAGTTATACCCTAACTATGAAGCCATACATATGAACAGTGAATTGGAAAAAGCACACTGTTTGAACTCAATTAAAAAAAAAAAAAAAAAAAAGAAAGAAAGAAAGAATCTTAATCAGGCTTTGAATCATTGCAGAGGCTGTAGCATTACCTTATTAAGTCAGTCCAAGAATAAAAACTAGGTGGTCTTACAGATATACCAATCACAGTACTACATTTTCTAAGCATAATTCAAGTGGTTTACTTGAAACACATTGCTCATCATTAAGAATGATGATAAACGGTAACATCAGTGTTGTTACCAGTCCTTCCCAACAAAATAAGTCATGTTTCTGTTAGAATCACCTGTTTACAGTTACTTGAAGAAACTTCAACTGCTGAAGCTAAACTTCTCTTTGCTGAGCATATCTGTCTTTAAAAACAAATACATTCATACAGACAAAAGCCTTCCAACTTGCCTTCCTTGTATTCTGCTAGAAAATCGTTATTCCTTCTGACAGAAATAGAAGTGGGCAACAGAATGAAAAAGCTGAACTAAGTTTAAGCCAGTGCTTGACTGTGACTCATTTTTGTTCATGAATAAGGATGAATCAAGTCAGTACAAAGTTTCTGGCACTATTTCCTTATCATCAAATATGTTTCATTTTTCACATATTTATCATTGGTTCCTTTGGCTTGGATTGTTTTTGACTGATGGAGATAAGCTAGACCCTTGATTTAACTCAGCCTTAAACTATCCAGGTTACTGAAAGAGAAATATTCAATCACCTTTATATGAGGAACAACTTATAGTAGAAAATAAATAGAAACAAGAGCCTCAGAGTTCTGTGCAAAAGATTTCAGACTTCTGCTGAGAGAGCAAGAGATGAAAAACTCCACCCCAATCCTCAAGTCCCTTAGGTTCTTGCAGATCTCAATGGACCTGCAAAAGAAAAGTACCAAGCCACACTACAATTTACACCGACTCAATCCAATCTACTTCCCCTGTAACTTAACACTCATATGAGCTTTACTTAATGAAGAGTGGTAGAGAACAGTGAAAGAGGCACTTGTGTTCTTGCATTCCTCTCCCTTAGATTTCTTCTCACTTGCATACTGTGGCACTTACATTATCTGTGTCATACAAGGGGACAATATGAATTCTAAGAGAGTTACGGAAATAGTGCAAGGAGCTTTATCTGTAATTTCAGAGAATATCAGGGACTGTTACTCTTCTTGTCATTCGAAAAAAGAAAGGCAGGCTGATACTTGTCTAGCATTACTAAATGCTAAATAATGAATGGATCACATCAGTTCTGTACCATGACCATAGCTGTATCTGTAATTGAAGTGGATCAGTTAATCTCAGTTCATATTTTCATATATGCCTGCTGATATACATGCAAACATGTTAATGAATCAATGCTTGGCTATAGTCTTAAAGTTCTTGCCTCATAGCTTTAATTGAATTAGCTAGCTTTCCTAACAGTGTATCAGCCTCTTCCACAAAAGCAATGATGATCACAATTTAATATGCAGTTTAGGCTCAGAGGAATACAACCAAATCTCTACAAACATGTACAGAATTAGTCAGTTTTTGTTCACAAAAGACATGGAAAAAGCTCCGGTTTATTTACTTTGCAAGACAGCTGGACTAAAGTAATTTGCTAAAAACAGTCTAGAATTTATCTTGACATTTTTCATGAAATAATTTACTGTTTTTACTGAAGACTGAGATATTCAACTAGTTTGACAACTGCTTGAATATGGTTTGAAGAAATTAGGCTTTAACCACTAAATAAATTATTAGAAAATATATATTCTTTTTATATTCCTAGGAATTTGCATCACTACCAGTTCCTTGTTCTTCACAACAAAATCCACTAACTTTAAAAAGCACTTTTAGTGGGGGGGGGAAGAGAGGAGGGAGAGGAGAAAACTGTACTTTGCATTTTTTCAGTGAACAAAAACAGAACAAAAGAAAAGCTAACTTGGAAATTATTAAATAGCAGCATTTTTAAAATATTTTCTTTGAAATCAACATTTCTGTAGATATTATGAGGGCATAATTAAGGGTTCTTTATAAAGACGAGCAACAAACACCATTTTACAGCTGAGCTCAACTTTTGCTACTGATAGGAAAAAAAGGTAACACCAATAAAATAGCCATCTTTTTTGTTTTAAAATATACTGCTAAATTATGTTCCTCTCTCTTTTTATTAATGGCTCCTGCACTACAACATAACTCCAACCAATATTCACATAAGGAAATCAATGATTTCGCACACATCCAGGGCTTGCTTACATGTATCAGTTCAAATAAGCAAATATGCAACTATCAGAAGGAAAATGATTTAGCAGAGGGTTGTTAGTTAAGGTAGTATGGTTAAGCTGTGGTTGGACTCAATGATCTTTAAGGTCTTTTCTAACCTGAGTGATTCTATGATTTTATGAAAAACAACTATGTCCCTTGAAAAGCAAAGTCAGAAACTTTTGCAAGATTGTCTCACATTCTTCTGTTTCACTGAATATCATTTCAGTTCTCTCACTGACACCACAGAGGTTTTTCCTCTTCATTGCATCCCGTGGTTTGCACAGCACGAATGGTGGGAGCTAGTTTTACTAGCCAGCAGATCTGGGCCAGCTAGGAAGGAAAAGTAATCCTGTGCTGAAAAAAACAGTGACAGATTGCTTCCTCCCTGTAATAGAGGGAGGAGCAAAGCACAAACAGTAACTGAGAGTTACTCCCTGCCTGATCTGAGCCAGGGGGGACAACTGCCACCTAGTTTGGAAGTAATGATCATGCTCCCCTAATTTAGTTGTAAAGAACAATTAAGTAAAGCTTTTCAGAGCCTCTTTGCCATTCTTCACAATACCGGCAAAAACACTTTGTGAATACTCTCTAAACTTTCCCATTCCTTAAGACAGCAGCTTCTTATTGATTGTACCATAAATCAGCCTCATCTTGACTGCTTGCACAGAAATTTGGATTTTGAAATGGGTGACAGTCATAAATAGAAGTTGCTTAACAACAGAAGGGATGTTAACTCTTTCTAAGTACCTGTTTCAGCATCCATTGTTTTTGAAAGCCTTGAAAGACTCTACAAGTGCAGAGAGAAAGGGAAGATCAGAACAGACAGATCATTTTACTGCTAGCAACAGACTGTCTAGGGACTTTTTAGTGCAGTAGATTAGCGTTGATGTTTAGTGACTAATATGATCCAGTGCTCAGTTAAGTCTGTGAAAGCCTTAAGAGACATTTATGGAAAACACATTTTTGTTGTTGTTTCAGTTTATCACCGAAATTTTGTGTCACGTGAGCGTCTTTTCAGACAGAACTCAGATCTCTTTACCTGATTCTCAATGCCCTTGGGCTGAAAGAGACAAAAATAAGATCCTCAGGTCTCACAAGTCACCAATTTTGCATCAGAAACATTTACTGCAGATTTCTTGCCATCACATGATGATCACATGATCACAATTAGTGAATTCGCATGGAGGAACAGTTCAGTCTGTCAGCTGACCCTTTCAATACAGCATTTCATGTCAGTGACAAGATAATAGAAGCTTAAGACAGAATTTGAGAGTCTGTGAGGGCAAATACAAGACTAGCCTGACAGTCCAGATATTCATCCTGTAAAATGGAGGCATTAAACAAAGAAGGCTTGAGCAGAATTAGAATAGCTATGACAACAAGCAAGATAGAGGGGTAAAGATTCTAAAGTCAGGATCAAGAACCAAGGCTAGAGCAGATAGAAGCACATGAGGTCTCAGAATCATTGACCAGAGGTACAGCTGTATGCTGTACACTGGAAAAACCATCAGTCAAGCTTTTGGGCCGGTATCTGCATCCCCTGGGGGCAGACTGTTGTTTGGATGAACAGTGCTTAGATATCTGCATATCCAAGTGAGGTCTGGAAGAGATCTGATGCATGTCAGAAGTGATCAAGAATAGGGCTTGATAGTAGGTATGTTTAGTCAGATAAATTCTTACTACTGTCTCATATGTACAAGGAAATATAAATAGTAGTGCACAGCGAAACACAGTCAGACATATATCCATCTGAGTTTGAAGGCTAGAGCATAAGTGTTTCAAGTAAGCTAGTAAAGCCAGTTCACTGGGAAGGAGGGGATAAATACTATGCATTGTCCCTGAGTTAAGGCAAACATGCCTAGCATCAATGTTTTAAACATCTTCAGGTTTGAAGGACATTAGAAAAGAACATATGTCCCAGCTACCCCTCAAAAAACTCAAGTTATCTTTTCTAGTTCTCTGCATAGACTGGTCAGATTATAGCTACTCTACACCAGAAAAGGATGTACTCCTCCTTACCTTTGTGCGTAATCTGAAACCCAGGAGTATCACTTGGCCCACGTGAAGAACTAGGTAAATCCAGGGGTCTGCTTCAGAAAAAAATAGTAAAAAAAAAAAAAAAAAAAAAAAAAAAAAATCAAAACTTAATCATCTGTATTTCTATATGATTTTATTGTAAGATGAACTATTATTGTGCAATATATTACTTTGAAATATGTTTTTAAACACTTCAAAATTAAGTCTAAGTGTATCATTTGAATGAACAGTAACTTTTTGATTGAGTACCTGCTAATTGGAGAGACTAATTTCTAAACTAGCTGTTCTTTTCAGACGTGCTTGTAAGTCACTGCAATCCAAAAACTGCTTTATAATAATATAAAATAAATTGATGGTTTTATTCTAGTTCTTCACAGATTGACTTCTGTCATCTTGACTTTAATTAGCTGGCACTCATTGAGATTGTAAGTATGGAAGGCAAAGAATGAAATTAAACAAATATTTCCTACAGTAGCACTGGAAAATACAAAATTTGTCTATACTGGTAAAATGTGGGCAAGTAGCATTGCCTACAGATAAGCTGATACAGTAATAGTAGGCATCAGTGAGACAAGGAAAACTACTTCTGGGAAGCTCCATTTACTTTTGGATGAGTGGGAGCAGACTTCTCTGGATTTTGTTTCTCCATAATCATGCTGATCTGCCTGCTAATCTGTTCAAGGGCTGTTATACAAAATAATTACAGTAGTTCCAGATGTTTCATTTATCTTACCATCAAAACAATGTTGTATGTAGTTGTGGTGAATAATTTCAAAGATAGTAACTACATTCTATCAGAAAAATCAGTTACTGAGAACTAATGTGTGTTCATGAGAACTTCATGTTCACACTACTTCAGGTTCACAAAAGCCATTCACCTACTTGTTGAATGTATGTTCAGTTAGGTAGATTGGGCTTTCGAGCTCCATTAAATACGGAAATGTTATTTCAATGTAAATACTATTATCTAAAATGTTTCAACCTATCTGCTTAACTGTGGTTAGTTTTGCATAATGCTAGACACAGAAAGCATACTCAGACCAGTGAATAAGTTTGTTCCCATTGCCAGTTTCTAGAACTGTTGTGAAATAACAAGCAGTCCCAGGAGCTTCCATGGGATAAACATCTCAGTTTCAGCTCTGCCTTGCAGATGAACTCATCAAGAACTGTCATAGTCAGTAATAACATTGAATGCTTTCAAAACTTCAGTATAGCCTTTTCCATACCTGTCGTGCAACCACAGATCCCGATACTAGTGAAAGATAAATAGAAAACTCATGGAAATCATTATCATAACTCATGCTATCATAACATCACACTGCTATCAACCAGAAGCATAGTGCCTACTATTGTTTTATCATTGAGGTAACGTTAAACTTTACAAAAATACATAAGCTTACATAAAATATAAACTTTCCACATCATATATCATATAACACTCATTTTCTTTTATAATGCTCTCCAGGAATGATCAGGAGGCCAATCAAATAACCACAAATGTGGTTACCTGAGATAATCAGGCTGAAAAGATAGTGTGCTGAAAGCAATACCAGATGAAATCAGAAGTACAGATATAAATTCATTTTCTTGGGAGTGTCACCACTGGAACTTTAAGTAAATTCAGAAGGACTTCGGGAGACTCATTGAGCTTTTCTACTATACTGAAGAATCTTAAGAGCCTTGTGTAAGAGAAGGCAAAAGACAAAGTCCGCTTAGAATTATCCACTGATTTTCAGTTAAGAGTTCATGTACTACAGACGATGACAGGGTAGTAACAATTCTATTTTCAGCCAGTTCTCTGCACTTCAATAAATACAACTGCTGTGTGTGCCTTAGAAGTAGCTAGTTAACGTTACCATCATCACTCAGAAAAATACATTAGCTGAAGTAAATGCAGCCACAAGTATGGAACAATGTAACAGGCATACACAGGAAAGTGTCATTGTCTGCCATGTGTTTTCCTAATATACAACTATATATGAAGTAGTCAAAAATGGAAGTCCAAAAACTTAACAGTCAACCTCAATGTGATATCCATTTGCTCATGACAATCCTCCCACTTCTTTTTCTGCTTTTCAGTGTTTTTTTTGTTGTTGTTGTTTATTATTGCCAATCTCCTCCACACACTGTGACTTTATTCCTCCTTTCTATCTAGGTGCGCACAAGAGATGATGGGAGCAAAGGAATAGCAGATAGTGGAAACTGCAAAATCATCAGATAAGCATTTCAGTAACTATATTAAGGCTTGTTCATGTAGGATAGAAGTAAGAGCAAATGAAAAGTCTTTCAAAAGCTGTATTTCCCTCTCCCTTTGAGCATTTGTGGAAAGAAGCAGTCAGAGCCCACTGACACAGCTGAAGCATATTCTATGGGCAGCCATTTCCACTGTCCTCATTCCAAGGCAAAATAATTGCCTTGCTAAACAGACAGAATGCTAAGTTCCTAAGACTACACAGTTAGATCTCTATATTCTTCCACCAATGCATCTATCTCAAATTGAAACCGAAAACGTTTCACTAAGGATGTTCCTTAAAGTGCTAGAATTCAGATGATAAAAGGAAGGTATTGTCCTCAATTTTGAGGTATTATTATTAGAAAGGTGTTTGAAATGATAAAAAGGATGTTTGAGAAATCTTTAAAATTATCAAAAAAAATACAGCAATTTTTGAGAAGATTCAGCTTACAAAGTGTCTGTCACAAGTGCAAATAAATACCCATAATGGGTTAGAGCATGCTCCATTATGCATGTTAGTGAGTGGGCACGTGTTCATACAGGGCACAGGGGCTGCAGCTGTAAATAAATACTCATCAATGCAGTTACTACCATACAGCCCATGCCTGTGTATGTTCACAAGGTGATGCTGCCACAAGGGAGAAATGTGCCATGGAATGATGATGCCATGCCAATCGATTAGAACAGAATGAAGAAAGAAGTTCATTTCTGGGAGTAGAACAGAGCCAGGTCTTCACCACTGGAAATGATCATCGTTCCACTTAACTGACATCTTAAAAAGGAAAAGACAAAGTCGGTATGCCAAAAATAAAGTGTAAATGAAGTTTAAATATATATCAGTAGTGTTTTGTTATGTGGCCTAAACCTGGGGTGCAAGATTTAAATGTGATTTTGATTACTAAAATCCATGAGGAAAAAAAAAATCATTTTAACAAGTAAATTTAAAAATATAAAAAATTTTCAGCATCTCTTACTCTTGCAACCAGAGTTTTAGAAGTGTATCACTGGAAAAAGCTCATCCTGCATTTGCACTGATATCTTGGAATTAATTACATATTCAGGAGGCACCTCTGAGCTCTGTAAAAATAAACAAAGCAATCCAACTACAGAACATTTTTCCTAGGTCTTATAGAACTCTACAATCTCTCAAAGAATTTACAGTATGAAATTTACTGTAAGTGTAACATATAATACGTAAAAAGAAAGGGTAAACTTAATTTGTATTTCAGAACGAAGACAATTTAGGTCAGCCAGTTCTATCAGATCTTACCTGAGATAGGAAAGTTTCTCCTTTTTTTCCTCATTCTTCCGAGCTCTACACAGCGAGTCAATCCCAGACAATAATTCAGCAACACTTATTTTCTCTATAAAAGAAAAAGGTAAGCAATATATTAACAATTTCAATTATATTCATTCATTCACATATGTACGAACATAGAAAGCCCTAGAGAAGAAAAAACAAATCATCCTGGTTTTTATTTTGTTTTACAAGAAAGAGTATGAGAAACTTCTCAGGAAAACTACAAACATATGCACATCCTGCAAACAGACATTCTTTCCAATGTCATTCTGCAATTAATTTTGGACTCCAAACCATTATGGAAGTGGACCACACACTCCACACACACAGCTCTGTTTTATATTCACATGCATGGTGAAAACTAAAACACTTTTAAGCAGAAAAACCGCTTTAGAAAAGATCTGGTTAGGAATGTATACATATAGCAATTGTTTTAAGAGTCAAAGACAGCAAAAACATTCAATAGGCTTCAAATATGTACATTATACAAGTATTGTTTCTTTTTCCCTCAGTTGTATTCTCCCTCCAGAAATTTTCCTTAAAAAAAAAAAAAAAAAAAAGAGAAAGAAAGAAAGAATACTTTCCCTAGGCATTTACTTCCTCAGATTAACATATTCTCTTTTTTTCAATATTGTGGACTGCTTTACATTTTGTACTGTGTTCACTCAAAAACAGAAATTTGGAAACTGTTTCTCTGAGCACCCACATAAACATACCACAGTGCATTATGGGCAAGATAGAACTGAGGATGCTCACAGCAGTAAGCCCCAATGTACAAGTTCAACACTTGCAAATGGAACATATTTTAAGCCTTTCTCTTACAAACATCCATACTTTTCAGAGAGAAGCAACATGCACGACTAAATAATAAATGAATAATACGGAGGGATTAAAAAAAAACTCTAACAGGTCCTGGGAGCCCTTCTCACCTCTCTGCAGCAGATAAAATGCAGCATATGCAGCTTCTACGCAGTAACAGCTCACTGCAATTAGCTCGGCGACATTCCCCTGCAGTCTTCCTACACTCAAGTATGAGAGCAAAATTTACCACCAAATCATGGATCTCCAGTAGGTGGAGTGCCAAACCCAGAGGAATAGTGCTCACATCTTGAGATGCACCTACATAGAAGTGCAGATTCCCACGGATCTTTTCATACTTTATGATTTACCACTTTGATTTCAGAAATCATTCCTCTTCTGCATTTAAAATGTGCGTGTTGATTTAGGAGAGCTATAACGGATTGCTCTGTTTCAGCACTAAGTAAATTCACATACTCCATGAAGCAATTTAAGCGAGCTCATATTTTTGGCCTTCTCTGTATTTTTGGCATTTTCCTATTTTTGTGTTCAATACAGTTATGCATTTTTACAAACTACATAATGTTTGCCTTAGAACTACCCTCATCTCCTTCTCCTCCGATTTGTACAACTTAGGGTCTTTTTGTTCTTCTCTCTATTAACATATCATTAGCTCCTCTGTAGACAGAGATCATTCCACAGAAAATGTTAATTTCAAATATAGAACCCAAGCAGAAAAATTATCTGCTTGGCATAAAACTTTCAAGATTTCTATATATGTCAAGTACACAGAAAGGCTTTATAGTACATCTTTCAAATTCCTCAGCATGAAGAACTACTGTTCTAAATGCGAGGTACATATCTTTTATGAGAAGACAATATCAGTGCTAATAGCATGGCTTTTTCAGCTGACATAGTCTTTCTTCTTCGCATGCAAGTTTGCAACATCTTCCTCACATTTTGGCACTTTCATTTCATACTTCACAGTTTTCTTAGTGCTTTGAGCTTTGAAAGATAGCTCATTTATTTGCTATACCTAGATGCCACAAGTCTTTGATTATGCTATATAAAGATGTAGAGGAAGATGTTGATGGAGTTCCACCAGAAAAATAATTACTTTGAAAGGATTCCAGAAACTGATCTAGTGTAACTGCTGTTTGTCTAGAATACAAACACCAGCAGCCTTGCCAGACTGCAAATTCATGATATTTCTGAAAAGTTGCTCATTGCACTGTTTGTTCAAAGATCAGTCATGATGACAACAGTGCAAAGGATACAGTGTTAGGTGATGACAGAAGTTCCATCAAGACTATGTGTAATAGTTATTTAGGATATTTCTCTTATATAGCCCCTATACAAAACATGTTTACAATACACATAAACAGAATGGTTGGAATCTTCCCCAGACACGGATTTCCTCTTAGCTATTCTCCAAAGCAGTGGTGTTTTAAGTCATTATTGTTCAGTGAATCCACTGTATTTTTTTCACTGAATGACTTCAAGCCAAACTTGTCTTCATCTCTCTGTTTTCTCAACCTCTGCTTCTCTCTTCCCCTCAGCCAGCCATTCTGCTAGATAGCAGGCTAAAACAAATGGGTCTGCAATAAGGACCAGAGGTGTTCAAAGCCAGAGTCATTAATGCCTCTAAATTAGGGAAGAAAGTAAAAGGAAGAGTCTGCAGGTGACTTCAGGAAAAAGAAAAGACTTAACAGTTACCTTAGAATACATTTTCTAAACACAATGTATAGTTCAGATAAAACCACATCTGGTTTTACATTGTTGTTGCTGTTCTGCTCAATGAAATATTCAATAATGATAATTCCCTTACAATGCACAGGGACTTTCTAAAAGTATAATTTAACACTCAGAAACACTGGCTTAGACTAACTCTAAAACAGAGCATGAAGTCATAAAGATGCACAGATGTTACTATTTGGAAACATTAAAGAGGTACTGAAGCTCTCAAGCACCTCCCAAGTTGTGTTGATTTCAGCAGTTATGAGTCATAAGGGAAGAAGATACTATTGAAATTACATGCCTGGGACACTTTTCTTTACCACTTACAGTTAGGAAAAAACAACAGTGTCTTCAAAAATACTTAATGTGGAGAAAAGCACTGTGAAAGACTGCAAATACCAGGAACTGAAATGAATAAATCAGCTTACCTCTATTTATGCAGTTAAAAAAAAAGAACAATGCTAATGCATTACTCGTTTCTGATGATACCATGGAAGGTTCAGGAGATCTAATTTCATAAATGTATATAAATAAATAAATAAATAAATAAAAAGGCGAGTGCTGGAGGTTCTGAAAGTCACAGTACTGATTATTTCAGAGAAATGTTTGTATAATGAACTTGGGCAGTTCTATAAACACAGCAAAGAATATGAGATTACTCATACATGCTGTACCAGTCCTTCTCTGATTAATAATTGCATTGAATCCACTGAATCAACTAGGAGAGCAAATGCACTCAGAAGGTCTTATTTATTAAAGAAGACTCTGACCTTTCCTGAGATCACTTTAGTAGCTCAAGACTACAATATGTGCAAACAGAGATTTCGTGCTGAGCATGGAAGTTTACTACAGTGTGCTACTATAGTTAAACTCATGCTACCATATCTTTCTACCCCAGACAAAATAGTTCTCAAATGAAGACAATATTGAAAGAGGTGCAATCCAGTAACCCTGCTCACTTTGGCAACTGTAATCTAAAATTTCTGAAGGCACTCTTTGGGGGTGGAAATGAAATCTCTGTGAGCTGGATAGCCCACTGAGTTTTAGTGAACCAGAATTTAACTAAGGCAGAGGAGAGGTAATGCTATCCATGTTGCACTTTTGCCAGTACAAAAATAAAGACACACTAGAGGAGATAATTAAAGGAATGTCTGTATTAATAAGTCAAGGAATGGAGTACCAAAAATGGGAGAAAGTAAGCATTAATAAAAATAGAAACTTCAAAGTTTTTTCCTCCATGTATTTGTTCTTCGGGGATTCTCCACGTAGAAACATCTCTTCCCTAGTCATCTTTTCTCTGTAGGAGCAATCTGATTTTTGCTTGTGCCTAGAGATAACTAGTTATCAACACATACTTCAATTCGTTACTGGGTACCACCTAGCCTCTCTTCGCTGGGCTTCCACTTAAGCTAATGAAATGAGTCAGTGCAAGTACCGTATCACTTTTTTTCCACAAAATGTTCTCTTACATATTTCTCTACACATCCCAGTACCAGTTTCAAACATCTTTTCCTATTAATTGTGATTTGGCCCTAGATGTTTAAACATACAAATTTAGATAAATAAATTTAGTATTATTTAAATATCTAGAAGGACATTTACTGAGAAACTGGCTGATTCAGAGCACTCAAAATGAGATGAAATCTACAAAAATTCCCATCTTAATAGGAATTTGAAGAGTAAACAACACATTTGAATGTAGAAACTGTTTTCTAAGGCATCAGAACCACTAAGCAGACTTTCTCAACTTTCTTATCAAAATGCAAAGGAGATCTTTTCTTCCCCCTCAGAATTTAGCAGATTGCATCATACTGCAAGACTTGGGTAGCCTATATAGAACACAGATAAAAGTCTAAAGGTTAAAGATGTCAGGAAGCTGGATTTGGTTTATAACTTGCAGTGCTTAGTGGTTTCATCTGTTTATCTCTAAATAAATACTTGACAAGGCCAAAGGAGTAGAGCTTGAAGCTATTTTTGCCAAAAGCAGTTTACTCAATGCTGAGCAGTTCAAATGTAAAAGAAAAAATTAGATGTACAGATATTTTCCTTCAGAGCAGCTCTTTATAGACCTGCATGAGATTTATTGTACCTCAAGTAGAACCAGTGACAGTTAAACTTATCAGCTGGCTAGGCCTGAAAAAACTGGAAATATTTTACGTATGCCCATTACAACGCTGCTCTTCACAACACACAAAGCTACAACCTTCAAAGTAAAAATGAATGCAAAAATGTGTGGGAAATATGTCCCCTTTTAATGGAGAGTTTAGGGTTTTACACACACACACACAAACACACACACACACACACACAACAACCAACCACCATGCTTCACAAAAAGTGAAGTTTCCTTCCTCATCACAGAATCAAATAAAGTGAGCCCAAACCAGAGCCTTTCACACAATATTACATAAACGTCACAGAACAGACACAATTCACTTCACATCTTCCTCCTTTTCCTTCTACTTTGGAAGGAAAGTGAGGACAGAGATGAAAAGATGAAGGTTATATTCAATATAAAAAAAGTGCTAGCTGAAAATACGTTATTTTGATGAAAATTGTGACTTTAAATGAAGGCTGTTCTGCAAGTAAAGCCTCCTATTTTATTGTGTTGGCTCACAACATCAGAGGCAGATGCAGGTAGTATTGCTGAAGAGGTTGAACCTTCATACCAACATTATGTGACATGTTGTTGTTTGACAGACGGCAGAATAGAGGGGCAGTGTGAAAAACGATGTCTGACATGGAAGTATATACAAAGCAAAGGTGAGTCACTGAATTCTGTCATGCAGAAAAATGGCACCTGCTGACATTCACTTACACTTGCTGAATATTTATGGAAATCAAACAGTGGATGTAAGCATGGTGAAGTGGTGCATGATGCGTTTCAGCAGTTGCGACAGCGATGTGAAAGACAAGCCACATTCCAGATAGCCACGCACAACTGTCTCACCATGAAATGAAGAGCATCTCAGTCAGCTCATACTCTGCTAACGGTGGTGACTACATTGAAAAATAATGTTTTGTAGCCAACAGTTTAGTCTACTGGTGTTATTGTTCCCTTAGAACATATTTTAATTTCCATGGAAATAAATAGGAGGCATTACTTTCAGTGTGCCCTCTGTATAATTAAATTTTTTTACTCACTTGATCTGCTTTTTACAGAAATTGGTGGGTTGTTGTAAAAAATATAAAAGACTTCTCCAATATTTTTCCCCTCAATACTTCTATGAGAGTATGTAATTTACAAACAAGTACATACATATATGTATTATGCTGAAACTTTGAAAAGATTCTAAAGAAGCTCATCAGTCACACAGAACTATTAATTAACATAGAAAAATAAAAATGTTAGACTTGTAAAAAAAAAAAAAAAAGTGGGCAAGTGGTGAATTGTTGAATTTCCTCCTGTTTTAAAAATGACATGTGAAAGAAAAGATTTCTTACCTTCTTGTTCCACAGCGTAACATGGAGATAGGTAGACATAAGCCTTGTAAGTTTTGATAGCCTTCTGAGAAAACATAGGGTTGGATATTCCATAACATGGTGTTTCAGGTAACTTATAGAACCTTTCTTCTAACCAAGAATCTTGCCGAAAAATGCTTGGTCTTGCCATTCCAAAAGTTTTGTTATTATAAGGGTTGGCATTATTTTCCAGAACAGAGGCAGCGCTTAGACATGTCTGAGTTGAGCCCCAGCAGCAATAAGGTACAGTAAGTTTTTGGGAAGACAAGGATCCTTTGCATTTCTGTTGATTAAGTAGAGACATGCTATTAAGGTCACAATAGTTTTGAATTATTTCTTTTGCACTGAATTATCTCCAATATCTGTTATAAAATAACAATGAAATAGTTATTTCAGAAATGCCACCCATGAAGCAATATTTCCCTTGTAAAGCCAAGCTTTATCATTTTACTTTTATTTGCATTTAAAAGAAATCATTGGGTTTTTTCAATGAATATCACTACCTTCTTCTTAAATAAAAAAACATGTAAGACAAAAATGAATAAATTCTGCCGCAGTTTTCAGATCTCCAAACATCTCCTGATTCCAAAATCTCTACGTATTGGAGTGCTGTAATATGAAAACCTTTGGCAAGAGCCAATCCCATCTCCAATCCAGAACTTTGAGATTAGATTTCACACCTACTTAGCAGCTGGTCACATACCATTGGCCCATTTTATGCAAATAGATTTTCATTTACTAAACAATCATTTCTATTTATTGTCAGCACAACTAAATTTCTTAAGGACAGCTTAATAATAAAGCTGCACCATTATGCCATTTATGAATGTAGTCAAATACTTGTAATTCCATTTTTTACATGTTACTGCCATTTAGTATTCTATCCCGTTTAAAAACATGGTTGGTAGTACACAGATATGAAGCAGAGAAATCCCTGTCTTATCTAGAAAATATACTATTCAGGTCCCACTTCTAAAAAGGATCACTAAATTAGTTTTGTAATGCTCACATAGGTAAAATTAACAAAGAACTGACGTGAACTTCACACGCATTTACTAGTTTAGCAAAGATTAATTACAGTAGTAATTACGCAATATTTTAGAAAGTTCCCCTTCCATCTAGACTCTGAGCCAGGTTTTGCCACAAACTGTAATACCATAAATAAGGGGTGCATTCACGTTTCCTGACCTGGTCTAGCATTAGGTGAAAATATCCTTCTGCAACCAAGCCAGTTCCTATTGGAACAGTAGAAAAGGGATGCAAACATTGCAAGGAGTTGAAACTAGATGATCATTGTGGTCTTTTTTAACCCAGGCTATTCTATGGTTCTATGAAGCACCTTTTGTGCTGGAGCAGAAAGCACAGGAGCAAACTGGAGAAGGGCGGCGGCTGAGTAGGAAGAGAGGAATGAAAAGTAAAGAAGCGGAAAAAAAATCTGCATCCTCAGCTAGCCATTTTCCTATCTTTGTGCAAATGTGATCCCATGAGATTACAGCCACTGGAAAGGCAAAAAAAAAAAAAAAAAAACCTGTGCTCACTAAATTTGTTTTTATTAAAGGAGACTTAAGTGAGTGTTGAAGATGTAGTAAAGGCAAAAGCAGACGCAATTAAAGTAAAGCTGTGGAATAAACTCAAATATAGAGAAGAGATAATGAACAGAAATAATAGAATTTACTAAGAGAAACATTAAAATGATTGAGAGGTTACAATCAGCAACAGAAAGGAATTTGCATTCAGGGACAGCAAACCTGAACTATGAAAAGAAGTGATGAATACGAAGACCTATAGTTGCAGGGGATGGGTAAAAAAAAAGTCATCAATATAAAAACAGTGCAGAGAGAAAGATCTTCAGGAACAGATAGAAAGTCCCCAGCCATCTTGCAGCATGAAAGACATTGTGCTGAAACATGTTGTGGAATTTAGCAGGGAGGTGGGGAGAAAATTAGAATAAAGTTTCACCAAATGCTGCAAAAGATAACATTTTCAAAGGGAGAAGAGAATTGGAAGTGTCAAGGATAAAGAAAACAAATGAGAAAAGTGTGTGGAACACATTCTAAGCAATTCTCAAATTTGGCAATCTGAGAAAAGTTTCAGGTTGAGATGGGAAGCTGAGTGGAGGCAATTCCAGGTGCATGAGAATAATAGCAACTACTTTTGTTTGCAGATCCACTGAACGTAGTTTTCTAAAGAGAAGAACGAGTGTAAATTACTAGTGAGACACGTGTCCGCACATTGAGGGTTGGGATACTGAGTATAGGTAGATAAATTTGTGGCCTACAGCATGAAATCGGCTTAAACAGATTGAAATTATTTTTACACAATATCTACAGAAAACGATGTTTTGTATTTAATTTCAACTCATTTCCTTGCAGAAAAAAATTTCTGTGAATGCATATCACTTCATGTTGTAAATGCCCAAGGGATGTACAACATTTCGCAATAACTTTTGTTTTATGTTTATTCAATTAGCAGAGTTTTGTTAATTACAAATGAATTAATAAGGCTGCTCCTTCATGTGCAGTTTGATAAAGAATATTCCCCTTCCTGCTGCTAATACATTTGATCTATTTTGTAAGCACAAAAAATATACATTCAGAAATGGTCATTTGAGTGAGTATCCCAAACACTAGTTCTAACAAGAAAGTATAATTATCCCTACATATTGTAGAAGACCTCCAATTTTTCAGGTACTCAAACACCAAAAAAAAAAAAAGAGTAGAAAGAAGCCATTTTGCATGTAATAATAAGATGGTCCTCTATATTACTATGGTATCTACATGACGTAGGCTTTAAGGAGAAAAAAAGTAGTTTAGGGTAAACCTTCTAGGTAAATAGTTAAGTATTACTCCCTGTGTAACTGAAAAAAACTGAATTCCACTATCTGGTTGATTTACCAACATCTGTTTACTAAGAAGACTCAATGCAGTCAGAAAAGTAACAAGCTTGAAAACCATCAGAAAATATATGGTTCAGAGAAAGTTACTTCCTGTTTCAACTGGGGTGACTGAAGAAATGAGATTTTCTATTACAGTCCATCACTGAGAAGAAATATTAAAATATTACAGTAATGTTTTCTATGTAAACCTTTTTCTCCACAAGTTTTAGCTGCGCAATTAAGAATGGACAACTCTTTAACATAAGAACGTGGACAAGTCGCTGTATTAGTTGTCAGACAAAGATTACTGAGAGAAAAAGTTGCGACTGAGAAACAAAATCAGGTCTTTTCCACCAGTGATTTCAACCTTCGACATTACCAAGGGTCTTGTCTAAGAGTTTATAAAATAGAGACCTAAGAAAACTTATGAAGGCTGACCACAGCACAGTCCTTGGTCTCACAATCCTTCTGTGCAACTGAGCTAGACAGGTTCCTGCATTGTCATCATCATCCTCATAATTTTGAGCTTGTTCAACTTCCCAAGCCTGATCTCTAAAGATGCAAATGAACATTGATATTAATAATAATATATAATATATATCCTTCTATTAAGAAAAAGGATTGTGAAATGTGTTTTGCTCATCTTTCCCAAAAGTTTGTTTTTAGGGAAATAGAGGATTGTATTTAGAGCACTTTGTCTACAAACTTTACAGTTGTTCTTGGGAGAAGAAAATTGGATAACATACAATACTTTAAAAAATTGCAAAGCATTTGGCTTGTTTCAACATCTCTCACATTTTCACTGAGGGAGGGACAGTATTAAATACAATAGCTCACACAGAAATTATCAGAATTTCTTTTAAAATAATTCATTAGTTACAACTTTTGTAAATATATTATACACTCCTACTACAAAATGAGGATTGTCTATTAAATCAGTATTTATAATACAGGCTAGCTAGTATCTACCTCTTCAGTTGTCAGTATCATTTTTCATGATCTGGAAGAAAATACTAAGCAATTGCTGACAAAACTTGCAGAGCATGCAAAAATTGGTGGACCGAGGCAAGCATTCTACAGAATAATCTGTTTCAAATGGTTAGGTGGCTTCATTCGCACAAGACAAATTTTTAAACAAAGAAAAATGAAAAGTCATAAATCCATTCAAAGGGAATGCAAGCCACATTTACAGGATGAGGAACTGGAAAAAAAGTTATTCTGAAGGTGGATAAGAAACTGTCAACACAGTGCAAAGCTATTGCTAAATGAGCTAATTGGATCCTTACAAAAGTAAAGGAATATTTAAATAGTTGATGTTTTGCATTATTTCTATGTTAACACTGATGCCACCAGTGCTGGAATACTACATTTACTCTGAAATGTACGTTAAAAACAAAGACAAAAAAAAAAGGAAGATTCAGAGGTGAATTAAAAGATCGGCTGATACCAGAAAAATCTAACTAAAGAGAAGGTTAATATACTTACCTTCATCAAAAAAGCATCAGAAAATTACTTGCTCACAATGAGAGAAGCTAGAGTAAATCAGCTGAAAGTGTGGAAAACTTGTGTGAAAGTGAAAAAGTCTCAGCTGCTTAGAATAATGCAAATGTGTTATGTATAAAGAAGTCATATACATAGATGGTATATAGACACTGCTGATTGTAAAAAATATCACTGCTCTCCATTTAAAGGGATTGGTACTGCTAATTTCCAGGAAAATGGGGAAATAGAGAATACTAGAGTTAAGAAAAAGCTGTTAAGCTGTTGCCTTATCACCACTCATGTTCAGAATAGGTAGAAAAATGAATTATTCACCAGCTGAAAACACCAAAGTATCCACTTTCTCTCATCGCTCCTTAAAAAATAAAAAATAAAAAAATAAAGAAAATTAAAAAAAAAAAAGGAGAAAAGAATTTGGATTAGTCAGTCAAATAAAGAGTGAGACAAATTCAGATCTGAAGAGTATGAAGCAGTGTACGCAGACGTTAAACAGGGTTAGAGGGAACATTACTTGGGACCGCGGAGTGGGGGGAGGAGTGAGGGTTTATGGTTGGTTGTTTCTGTTTGATAGGGAGTAGTGGAATTGGGAGGGTTGTCTATTTGTTTAAAACAAATATACGATTAGAAATAAAGGAAAATGCAACAAAAATTGAATTACTTGCTTGTAAGCCAACACTTACAATTATGCTCTCCATAAAAAAAAAAAAAAAAAAAAAGGTTCAAACAGTAAACTCTGCTGTCCACTATGAACTTCGCATTTTCGTATTTACCACAGGAAAGAAAATATTCTGAAGGCAATAAATCACACTCTGAATGTACCTATGTGGTAAGAAGATTTTTAAATGCTGACTTTTTAATCAGAAAGTAATATGTAGCAAAACCCAACATTTAAAATGAAATTCAAGAAT